TTTTTTTTGCAAAAAAAATGAGGCATGCAGAGGGTTTGGGAGGCCTGCAGAGTGCAAAACCTTTTTTAAAAAATTTACCTCTACCAAAAAATACGGTATATAAAAATGGGTGTGTGTGTGTGTGTGTGTGTGTGTGTGTGTGTATGTGTGTGTGTGTTCCAGCATAACTCTGGAACGCCTCAAGCAATTTCAACCAAATTTGGTATGCAGACCCTGGAAACAAATACTGTGGGGGTAAGACACCCCTCGGAGTGTGTGTTGTGTTAAGATACAGCCTGTTGTGCCTTAAAATGGCTTCTACCGTACTGCCTTAGAATAGCTTCTACTGTACAGTGCTGCAAAGTGCTCCTGGGGGCTACCACGACGGAGTTGCCGTGGTAACGGCTTCACAATACTCCACAAGGGGGCTCCCTCTGGTAAGGGGGAAAATACAACATTAGAAATTGCGGTGACGTTCATGGAAGGAGGGTTGGGATGAATAAATACCCGGGCAGTGGAGGATTATCAAGTAGTTCTTTTTTTAAAAAAAGGTGATCAATTTCAGACAGGGAAAGGAGCATGGTTGAAACCTATTCTTCTTCTCTTTTTTTTTTTCTTGGACCAAAATCTGTCTTCGACGTGTCTGGGAAATCTGGGAATGATACCCATGGCGGGTTTTGAGAGGGGGCTTAAATCTGAAGGAATAGTTGTCTATCAAAGCCATCCACCCATCACAGTTGTTTGAGTGTAAATTAATGGACAACCAATTAAATATGAGCCACGAGTGTGCTGCAGCAGCCCAAAAGGCCAATGCAATCCTAATCTAAGGGATACACTCAAGATCAAGTGAGGTACCACTCTATAAAGCCTTAGTAAGGCCACACCTAGAGTACAGCGTCCAGTTTTGGTCACCACACTATAAAAAAGAGGTTGAGAGTTTAGAAAGAGGGCAGAGAAGAGCAACAAGGATGATGAGGGGACTGAAGGCTAAAACACATGATGAATGTTTGTAGGAACTGCGAATGGCTAGTTTAGTGAAGAGAAGGAGCAGGGGAGACAGGATAGCAGCCTTCCAATATTTGAGGGGCTGCCACAGAGAGGAGGAGGTCAAGCTATTCTCCAAAGCACCAGAAGACCAGACAAGGAATAACGGATGGAAACTGACCCAGGATGCGCGAGATGGGAAATGGCTGCCAAGTTTTATCGCTCTGGCTTTGGAAGACAAAAGCGAACAAAAACTCATGGAACTAACCCTGGAAACTGCGCAAAAAGGGGCTCCTGCAAGAGACCGAGATTCAGAAGATCCAGAAAGGCAACTATCTGNCCTGAGTCAACCTTGAGCCAGTGAGGATCGAACTGTAGACAGCTGGCAGTCAGCAGAAGTAGCCTGCAGGTTCTGCATTCTAACCACTGTGCCACCACAGCTAATCAGCAATAGCACTTAGACTTATATACCGCTTCACGGAACTTTCCAGGGCTCTCTAAGTGGTTTACAGAGTCAGAATATTGCCCCCCTTAACTGTGTCCTCATTTTAGCCAGCTTGGAAGAATGGAAGGCTGAGTCAACCTTGAGCCAGTGAGGATCGAACCGTAGACAGCCGGCAGTCAGCAGAAGTAACCTGCAGTACTGCATTCTAACCACTGAGCCACCAGAGCTAATCAGCAATAGCACTTTTAGACTTATATACCGCTTCGTGGGACTTCACAGCCCTCTCTAAGTGGTTTACAGAGTCAGCATATCGCCCCCAACAATCTGGGTCCTCATTTTACCCACCTCGAAAGGAGGGAAGGCTGAGTCAACCTTGAGCTGGTGAGAATCAAACTGTAGGCCGCCAGCAGTCAGCAGAAGTAACCGGCAGTACTGCATTCTAACCACTGCGCCACCACAGCTCATTCACGACTTATGTGTGCTTTTCACACTTACGACCGTTGAAGCATCCCTAGGGTCATGTGATTGTAAATTCAGCCGCTTGGCAACTGGCTCATATCAAGAAAAGTTGTAACAATGGGGCAAAACACACCTAACAAACTTCTCACTTAGCAACATACATTTTGGGCTCGATGGTGGTGAAAAGGGTGTCCTAACCACCATCCTTTGTTGATCCTCTCAATGGAGGCCACCAAGGGCTTTGCACTCCCGTTATTCTTCCACCGCTTTTAGAGAGAGAGGTGGAATTTTTTTTAAACCACTGGGGTTGCTATAGAAACACAAGCCATTCTTTCACTTTGGAACAGTGGCTTTTTCTGCGATGTTTGGTTTCCACCCAGTTTAAAAACTCGTCTGGCCGAGATTTCACAGACCCCCCCGTGGACATGGAACTTAAGAAATCTTTTCTTAATGGGTGGGGTGGCGTGGGGGATCCTGGATACATCCTGAATATCATCATCATCATCATCATCTTCATCATCATCATCATCATCATCATCCTGGATGCATGGAGGGAGGAAGTATGAATTGCCAGTCCTTAACACTTAAACCTCTAAACAGAAATGATCCTTGGCGCCATTTGTTGAGAAAGTGAGAAAGATATAGTTTGATTAGAAGCCAAGTGTATTGCAGGGTTGCAAAGCCAGAACTGAGAATCGCGGGCCAAAATACCGAATTGCAACTTTTTCCTCCCTTAACTGCCTCCCATCGCTGACCCCTCTCTCCCATGACCAATCGGGTTCAAGCAAGATGTTTTCAGAATGGTCCCTTCAAGCATAGGTTGGTATGCAGCTGCTTTCCTTTCCCCAGCCAATTGGCCTTGAAGCAGTGTCTCGGGGAGATACAGAAGCTACTTTCATTCCCTCCCCAAGCATTTTCCATCTCTTATACATCCATCCCAGAGTTCAGGATGGACTGTCACCAAAAGAACGAAGTGGAAGCAAGGATATGGTGGCAGCTGACAGGAATCAAACCCTACAGGTGGCATTTACAGGTCCTCTGCTAGCCACTCAGGGATGCCCCCTGGAGCAAGTTTGCAAGTTAGAAGACCTATTCTTTGGCTAACTGTCACAGGGGTCTTCTTTTCAATACCCAATTCGGTGGGCTCTCCAAACTCCAGAGGGCCGACTCCATCCCCTCTTGGCCTTGTTTTACCCACCCAGACACCAGCAAACCCTTGGATAGTAGTCCCAGAAAGTATTGTCTGCTTAGCAACGGGAAATTCTGTTCCAAATTGCGGCCGTAAACCAAGAACTATCTGCAGCCTGTCCACTGCTCTGAATCTTTTGTCATTGATCTGTTTGAAACGCTTCCTTTGCAGTCTGGATGCTTTATTCCGAGTGTGATTTTTTTTAAAAAAAATCTCCTTCCCTCTTTTCTGCGCAGCAGCCCCGGAGCTGGTGAAACCCATTTGTTCTCTGTTTGCTGTTTTATTGGCTTCTCCGACCTTTCTGGTAACCAATACATCACCGAATGTCTTTGGTTTCCTAGTAACATTCCGGCTGCCTCTTGTTCATTTGCAATCCGACCCTTTCGACAAGCGCCACTTAAATTGCCTTTTGCATTTGGGGAGTTCGAATGTTAGACCAACATGGCAGACAATTCCTCTTTGATTTGACAACCTTTTTTGACAACGTGGTTGGCCTATTTCACTTGTTATGGCTTACAGGTGGGAATGAGAGGCAGATTCCATCACTATCGCCAGTTTTACCGTACTCTGAAAAGAGGCAACAGGATCTTGTTCTCCTTGGCTTATTATTTTTATTTCACCGTTATTACTATGTAAGTCAAGGTGATGAACGTACCTATTACTCCTTCCTCCTCCTATTTTCCCCACAACAACAACCCAGTGAGATGAGTTGAGCTGAGAAGGAGTGATGGCCCAAAGTCCCCCAGCCAGCTTTCATGCCTAAGGCAAGACTAGAACTCACTGTCTCCTAGTGATNAGATAGATAGACAGACAGACAGACAGACAGACAGATAATGCAGGTTGTTTCTTGACTATGAAAGGCTACGCAAGAGGATATTCTTGGTATTTACATTGGGGATGCCTCCTTCTAACATAGCAGTACTTTCAGGTGGAAAATTGCATCTTTTGTTAGTAGTGTTGCTTGGTGAAGTTGGGAAATGGATACACAAACCCTTTCAACTATTGCCTGAATTTCTGGAAAACCTTGGCGTGATTCTTATCTTCCTTCGAATTTCAGTAGAGTGCTAGAATGCAGATCTAAGGACAACCCTGTGTCTTTATCAAGAAAATAGAGGTAGAAAATATTCTATCCGAATCATATGGATCTATTTTATTTGTTCATGGGGATAAACCTGGGCCTCCTCACTGCCCAAAATTACAAAGGGTTTTATTTTGGAGAATTGGGTGGATTTTTATATTCAGATGATGGCTTTATATTCAGATGAAGTTTTATTTCTTGGATCCTCGTGTGGTTCTGTATACAGACCCATTGGGATCCCCATATTAAAACAACGTAGCTTATGTGTGGCCAAAATCTGAAAATAACATTTAACACAGCACAGTACTTGAGTAAAATGATTTGGTTGAGATTGGGCTATGCGGGACTGATTGGGGTACATTGTAGAGGTGATATCGAAATATAATTTTATCATATTTTATTTATCTACATATTAGAATAGAATAATAGAGTTGGAAGTGAACTTGGAGGTCTTCTAGTCCAACCCCCTGCCTAGACAGGAAATCCTATACCATTTCAGACAAATGGTTATCCAACATCTTCTTAAAAACTTCGAGTGTTGGAGCATTCACAACTTTTGGGGGCAAGTTGTTCCATTGATTAGTTTTTCTAACTGTCAGGAAATTTCTCCTTAGTTCCAAGTTGCTTCTCTCCTTGATTAGTTTCCACACATTGCTTCTTCTTCTGCCTTCAGGTGCTTTGGAGAGGAGCTTGACTCCCTCTTCTTTGTGGCAGCCTCTGAGATATTGGAACACTGCTATCGTGTCACCCCTAGTCCTTCGATTCAGTAGACAAGATGTACCCAGTTCCTGGAACCATTCTCCATATGATTTCATAATGAATGAATGATTGATTGATTTCAGAAGGCTTTAAATTGAGACAGGGAGACCAAGTTAAGAATCCGGTAATGTCTCCAATAGTTGAAAAGAAAGCGATAGCTACCTATACCGTACATATGTAGGTAGAACTGGTCCTGTGTGACTTACTAACTGCTCCCATCCGTGTATTCCAAAATGCTGCGTGAGTCAATTGTAGAGCCTAAATCACAATTTGGATGATTTAAAATTTAGCACCACTCATCTCTTTGCTTCAGGGCACTGTGTAATTGCCGGTTGGGCCGAGGGAGGGAAAGCTGTCATGGGAAATCTGCTCCCTCCATTAGGACCTTTGGCATCAGACATCCTTCAGAAGGTTCCCTTGAGTAATATGGGGTAGATTTGTCAGCCTTCCATTTTTGCCAGATCGTACAGTGAGTCCTAAGAGAGGTGAAATTGCAAAAGTTGCACAGCTGATTATTTAATGCGATCACTATAAATTAAGGAAGCACTTCTCCAAGTGGTCTTAACTCTTGCATAACAAAACTCTTCTTCCCTCATGGGAGGCATATCTGGAATAACTCCTCACAGCAAGATAGGTGGTAAACATTTTTCCCCTTTGGTGTCCTTTATCCTTTCCTCCATACCCCCATCCAGCACAAAGTTTGGTTAAAATTGATCTGAACTGCTTTTGCTGATCCATAGTGGACATGCAGATTGAGTTGGATTGTTGGATTGAGTTTTGTTGTGTTGGGTTTGGTTTGGTTGGGTTGAGCTGACTTGACTTGGGTTGCACTGCATTGGGTTAGGTTGTTGGATTGAGTTGGGTTGGATTGGGTTAGGTTGGGTTGAGTTGAGTTGGGTTGGGTTGAGTTCGCTTAGCTTGGATTGCATTGGATTAGGTTGAGTTGGATTTGGATTGCCTTGCCTTGCCTTGTGTTGGATTGAGCTGGGTTGGATTGGGTTAGATTGTTGGGTTGGGTTGAGTTGAGTTGTGCTGAATGGGTTGGATTGGGTTGAGATTATTTGAGTTGGATTGGGTTGGGGTAGACTGGATTAGAATGGGTTGGGTTGGGTTGGGTTGATGAATTGGTTGCATTGACCTGAATTGCATAATCCAGCATTTTGGACTGTTGGGGGAATGACCACCATTGGTCAAACTTGGTCATTAATCAAATGTTTGAATTTTGTTAAGCCTTTGCCTTGGGAATCTACCCTACCTTGCCTTTGCAAATAAAACGCCAGGGTGCATATGATGAAGCTAGCGTTCTCCTCTCATGGATCTGAATGAGATGCTCTTCTTCATTGGAACTCTTGGCCCTACAAAGAACAGTTCTGTACTTGTCATAGGAATTTCACTCATGAACTGTACTTTTTAATCTTTACTTTTAAGACTCTATGTAGTCATCCTGTCTGTAGAAGTGACCAACTTAAAGCAGTGGTCGACCTTAGTGTACAATGTCCTGCTTTTTGCATCTAGAAATATTCGTGTCATTTGTCTGGTTCAAAACCAGGTTGGCCAGTCTGTTCCCATTCTGGGCTCAGTAGTTCTCCAAATTAAACAGTGGGCTGTTGAAAGTTGATGGATTTTTTTTTAAAAAAAAACACACTGGTGGCTTGATCTTCTGTTTAAGCAGAGAGAACAGCGAAGAAAAGTTACAAAGAATTTGTCAGGCTCAAACCTAGCCAGGAAGGAGTAGGAAAATTGCAGGCTTATTACAAAAGAGCTGCTAGCTTGGGAATTTCCACAAATTCTTTTTTTTAAAATTGAGTTTCAACAAAGGAAAAAAATTCAAAAAGGCGAAAACAGAGGGGTTAGGGGAAAAGGGAGGTTAAAGAAAAAGCAAACTCAGGAATGGAAAAAGAAGGAAAAGAAGAGAAACTGGAATGAAAGAATAACTTCCAACTTTCTTCAGTACAGCTAGATCTAACATACATTAATCTCTTATAAGTAGTCCTTGCCTTACAACCATAACTGGGGCCAGCATTTCTGTTGTTAATCACAACAGTTGTTAAGGACGTCCCTCATTTTATGACCTTGTTTGTCTCAGTTGTTGACCAAATCATTCCAGTTGTTAAGTGAACCATGGGGTTGTTAAACAAACCCATTGTCTATCTTTGTCAGAAGTGGGCCAGAAATGTCACCAAATAGCAATAGCCCTTAGACTTCTATACCACTTCATGGTGTTTTACAGCCCTCTCTAAGCAGTTTACAGCCTATGGCCAACAATCTGGCTCCTCATTTTACCCACCTTGGAAGCACTACTTGCTTATACCTTGTATCCCGTAAAAGCCAATATCGTGGCCCACCAGTGGCCAGCAGAGCTGGCAGCAGATTCGGACAGTGAGGAAGTTGTG